TTCTTCTTCTGTTTCTTCTTTCGACGTCCTCCTCCTTCTCCTCCTCTTTTCAACCTCCGCCTCCTCCTCCTCCTCCTTCTTCTTCGTACCATGTTCTTTCACAATGTTGGCGATCATGACGCTCTAGAATTTGCCTTCATTTATAACTCTTAATATTTTTTTTTATTATCTCTCCTAAATCTTTTCCTGCCATCTATAAACACAAGCTCATTAAGAAGATAATGTGCTATTTTCATCTGTATCTCTTCCCTTCACTCTGTCCTTGAGTATCAAACTTTTCCAAGCCCAATATACTCATGTCCCCTAGAAATGTCACCTGTCTCTTTCTGATGTTAAATAAAGTGTCCTATTTGTTTCATCTTTCTCTAAAACATCCTCGTTGACAAATGGACCATGGTATTCTCAGTCTCCTTTTGTAGAATCACATTTTATCGCCTGAAAATTCACTGCAATTAAGACTGATGTCACATGACAGTTTTCTTTGTTTCTAAGAATTTTTTTCTGTTTCTTAATATGTCGCTTAACTTTTGGAAGACATCATCTTTATTCCAATTCGCCTTCGCATTTCGGTGTGGCACTTTCCGTCCACTGATATTTAAACTATTGTACACGCTTGAATGTTTGTATTTCCAATTTGCATTTTGGGCTGTCCTTTTTATTCACAACCATGCATTCTTCACAACCTTCGTCTAATGTTCGGAAAAACGAAAGCAGTAAAAATTCAGACCCATAGTCGGTTGCACAAAGAAAACCTGATCATTTAATAAACAAATTTCTCGTTTTTTTTTTAATATCTTTTTTCTTTTTTCATTTACTTATCGTTTCATGAATTTACGATGAAATCATGCTTTATATTAGTCAAGGGTTCCATATGTAGGAAGTACGAGAAAAAACTGCCAGTGTTAAAATTTTGGGTGCATCTTCCTATATACAAAGTAAAGCGGCAAGACTTAGTTGCAAATATAGTAGCTCGCTCAAATTCGACCGAGCAGTTACCATGAAAATATTTGTAGAAAAGAGAGAAGGAAGTTGGTGAGACAGTGATTGGGGCGAGATACCAAGTGAGGTTGGATTGTATTGCAGATCGATCTCTAGTTTCTATTAAGAAATGCGCAGTAGGAACATCAGAACAGATATGGCAACAGCATTCAATACACGGACGAATGGTATATTTATACATAAGCAAGATGATATTGACGAGATTTTTTTTTTTTTGACACGACGCAGCTAACCAACCTTCCTTGCAGAAACGTAGCAATTGACTGGGTATTTTCGCTCGACTTCATCTCCGTGAAAAACATGAGATCAAGAAGTCATAGACTATTGCCCTCCTGGAGTTCCACATCAGCTATTCTGATGGTATGCAGTTTCCCTGTGGTTATTAAATGAAATCAGTTTTGTTTCGGAGGTTTTGAAATTTACGAGCTATTTGTTGCTCCAGTTAACCACAAGTCATTTTCAAGAGTAGTTGTCAGGTATACTTTGTCAGGTCTGTTAGATTTGCTACTAAGGCATGCGTAAATGGCAGTGTCATCTGCATTAATACCTAGTTGAGAACTGATCACACCAGGGGGATCATTGATGAAGATCAGAAACAGTGTATGGTCAATGTTAGAGCTCTGGGTGATCCACGTGTTAGTATGAAATAATCTGGAAATATATCCGTTAAATACGATCTTAATTATTCGATCGGTTAGGAAAGGATTGAATTAAGCCCACCATCCGTTGCGTGACATCGTATCTAACAAGTTGCTTAGAAGCCGGAAATGCTAAACCCCGTCGAACGCTTTCAAGATATCTTGAGCCACAACGAAAAATTCGTCATAGATGACTTCAAAGATGGGCGTTAACCCGTAGATATAGACCTGGAAGTCTTACTGCTTTTCCGAAATTTATGTCAAAATAAAAAATGTCACGTATGATAACAGAAGTTAATCAACGTCGACTCTGGTATGTCACGCGGGAAAAATTACAACTAAGTAGCGAATTCGATCCTCACTTGGTGCCCCATAGTTTCACCCTTATGCCATATTTAAGCTACGCTTGAAACATCACCTTATATTTCCTGTAACACACACACGTATGCACACACACACACACACACACACACACACACACACACACACACACACACAAATATATATATATATATATATATATATATATATATATATATATATAAATAAAGATAAAAGTAAAACTTATCATAGCTGAAGTGTTTTATCACCCGAGGTACTTTGTCAAGGCAGATGTTTATCCTGAGAAAAGATAACTTTTCTTTTTGTCTTTATTCATATTGACCTTTTACAAATATACAGTAGGTGAAAATTATATATATATATATATATATATATATATATATATATATATATATATATATTCATCACCCGGTATATCCGCACTATGACTGAGAAACAATGTCTTTTTTATGGTAAGGTAGTGTTGAGGCAACCTGCATTAGGAACAATGATGCAAAGGTTATCATCTGATGCAAGCTCAGTTTATTTTTCCCCCTGGAGCAAGTGTGATGGTTAAACTGTCGACATTTTATATTTTTATTTTCGCGCATGCACGTTGTTTGTTTTTGATTTTGTCAACTGCACATAAAATATAATCAGTTGGGCACCGTCTGTCAGAAGACCATTATGACACAATTTACTCCACCAAACGAAAGGAATATTGTACTGTTTGGCATTCGCACCAGAATCTCCACTGCGAATATTTCACTATGTTTGTATGCCAATCAGAGAAAAGTGCAGAGGAAAGAGTTGGATTACGAAAGTCTTTAGAATGGTCAATAGTGATGGTGACGTTTATCCCACAGGATCTCAGACTCAATACTGAGGCCTGCATCAAGTGTTTGAGGAGGTAGAGTTGCTCTGGGTCAAGATGATGGTTGCTGGAAGACCGTAAGACTAACAATAGGACTTACAAGCAAGAGATACAGTCATAGCTGTCAGACAATTTCTTCAACCACATCACCGCTTACATCTAGCCAACTACCCCCGCTGATTATTATGCGTGGAGCTCAGTTGGGCGAAAGACTAAAAAAATTCCATATTACACCAAAGATGAACTAACTAAATACAAGGATTATAACAGCATGCACAAACAAGGAAACCGTTCAGATGAGATTCAGGAGATTCCAGTGTTGTCTGTAGGCGGTGGTTGCAGCCAAAGGCGATTTTATTAAATATATTTACTCTTTCTTAATATCAAGATATTTTGTGTAATTTTGCAAAATATTTCCGTTAAAATGAGATGTGAATATTATTTTTAGTTTTGCATAATTTCCACGACCCCGTATATATTGTTATTCACTATACATGAAGGAGTCTAGCAAAGGAACATAACACTGAATCTCCAATAAAGCACAAATCAATTGCAATGGGAAGGTTTTGTGCAGAATATTCCAAATCAGCTCTTTATGACGAGTTTGCTTCATATATATATTTTTTTCTGTTGGTACAAATTCATATTATCACATACAACTAATGATAGAAGGATATGATGATCTTGAGAAAAGTAATGGCAACGATGAACAGATATTTAGTTGGTTAGCATAAAACATAACTGTACAAATGCCATAAGGTGTATACCGAATAGATCGTGGTGAACACTCAGTGTGAGCGTCGAGCTGTTTGATTAATTAAAATATTTAGAAAGATAAATTGTAGGAGTTTGTTGCGAATTTGAGATTCATTGCCTTATAATCCCTATGTATTGAAAGTTATATATACCCTCCTACCCCAATATAAAGCTTACTTAAGAGAGATATGAAATTAACCCCTCTCTATACTCTATCTTGTCTCTGTAACTGCCACTCACCCCCCCCTGTTAAATTACAAAAATTACACTACCCATCAATTTCTAATCCCATTTTTCCTTTCATTTCTTTGTTGGAAGTGTTACCTGATGATCCGGAGTCCCTTAAAAAGGATTTTGGTGAAATAAATTATTGTAATGGTACGTTAAAGTGGTCTGTTTTTCATTAAATATTAGCTCTGTATTCACATTGAGCTCTCTGGATTTCATCCTCCTTGGAATTACCCATTCGGTTTACCAAGTTCTTCATAACTTATATATATATATATATATATATATATATATATATATATATATATATATATATATATAAAAGAATATATGTACTCCTCAGAAATTATTTCGGTTGAGCTGTCTGAGGAGAAAGTGTGAGTTTCCAAACAGTGACTATTAATGCTACTAATCCAATATTCAATAAAACGAATCAAGTTCTCTCAGTCACTGGTGTGTTTATCGAAAAAATGAATACGCTTAAATTCAGCTTCATCCTTGCTTAAATCACTTGATTAAACGCTTAAAGAGTGAATGTACGAAAAGTGACAACATTATTGTATCGAGTTAAGTGAATCATGCAAAACGCATCAACCTTTGTATCACAAATGATTGAAATCATACTGAAAAAAGTTATTTGTTAATATTCCAATTCAATAAAATGTTGAACATTTTCTTTCTTTAATAAATGGTACTTATTAAATATAGTATATGCAGAGTGTAACAGCAACATTGTCCAAATTGTGTAAAAGCAAAAGTGTCCATTTGTTAGTTTTGAACCGTTGTATCTTAGAAATGATTAAATATAGCTTACTGAAATTTTACGAGGTTTTTACAACATCATTAGACTCTACTTTAAATGTATAATTACTGTCCAAGGTTAACAGAAGAATCGTGATGAAATCGATCATAAACCTAAATGACATGTTCCTTACTAATTAATTATAGCTAAGGATCAGGAAGCTCATGAATGACTGAAATAAAGTTTATATATATATATATATATATATATATATATATATATATATATATATATATATATATGTATGTATATGTGTATATTTCAGGGGACAAGGTAATCCGTAATGAACTAAGAACAAAAAACAACAGGATTTTCCCAACCATGTAACAACAAAAGAAGTTTATGTTGCAACCATATTAAAAACACGAATTCATTCACTAGC